CCGATTTTGCATAACAAGATCCAATTCCTCGAAAGCTGGAACAGAGGCGGAATCCGATGGATCTTCGAAATCGACGCACAGTGGATCGAGTCAATCGAAGAGGGCGGACATAATTTGGAAACACTGGGGAAAAAAACACATTGAATCTAGAGTCTAGACTCTTGAAAACATTGACAAGAAAAAGGACTCTTGATTCAATCGAATTTAAGCTTAAATCAAAAGGAAATTCGCTCAAATTAAGAGGCTTGGTTCTTGATTTAAGCTTGAATCTGATTGAATTAAGAGTAATTTTTCTTGTCGATGTTTTTAAGAGTCTGGACTCTAGATCCAATGTGTTTTTTCCAGTGAACGTTGAATGCTAAAACTTCGTTTATTCAATTTTTTGAGGTTTTGAAAGTGGTTCCATTGGTTTTCTCGTGAAATTTTCTTCAAGAAGCAGTACTTAAAATTTAAAATGTGACGAAATAAGCATCAAAAGCAGTTTTAGTCAAAAGTTTCATGTCCAACCTTTCTAATTGACTCGATCCACTGTGCGGCGATCGGAGTTCACGAGAATAGAAATCGAGATAACGATGATAGTATATCACGATCTCCGCTCTGACTGTGATTGTGGTCATGTTTGAAAACATGGAACTTGAGATGAAAAAATCTAAAAATGTATTAACTTTACCACAGCTTAAAGGGATAAATTCTGTATCAGTTGATCATGTTTCGCCAAATTCACCTGTCGATTCTGACACTGGGCCTGTTGCAAACTTCAGCCAGTGCAAAAAGTGGGATTATTTCTCATTGAAAATGGCTCAAAAATGATAAGCGCATCGGGAAAGTCTGAAGTACACTCCTGACAACACAATCTACGTAAGAAATACGCGATTTTTTCTACATCGCCATTTTGGATCGAAATTGTATCGAAAAAGTGACCGAAGCTCGACGCACACCGGGCTCGGAACTCGTCGTCCAGGACATGGTCCCAGCTCTCCCATTCACATTACGACTTTATGTACTCTATGTTTATAATGCAACGGCTCTCTAGACGAGATGTGAATTATAAAGCGCTACGCAACATAAGTAATAAGCATCTGTGGGAATGGAGCGTGCAACCTCTGCGTGCAGCGGACATGCATCACAGTGATATTAAATAATAGTCTCCAATGCAACATGAATGGACGTTCCCGACGTTACATGCCCAAGTGTATTTTTAACGAAGCTATTTGCGCAGTGGGGTATTTTTCGTAAAACGGCAATAAAAAAGTCAATAATCATAAATCAATAAAACGTACACGGGCCTGCCGAGGTAGAATTTTTAGTTACCTCTTTACAAATCTGCCGTGATAGCGAAAAGCGCAGTTAGTGCAAAAAAATGAAGTTTTGAGAAAACGGGCTCAGAAGCGTCTGACCGGAAAATTTTAATGAAAAAAGCCTCCGTTCTTTCTCGAATTGTCACTAATCGCCCGAAAGACTCCTAGAAATTTTTTGGATGATTAAAAATTGACTGATTTTATTTCAATTACATCAAAAGGGTATTTTTCATTTTCATGCTGGGTTATTGTTAGGCAAGACGCAGTCGCGTAAGTGCTATCTTCTGCATGCTTCCGTGGTTGCGTTTTGGACACACAACAAACGCATTTTCAAGTTAGAAATTCGCAGAAGAGGGCGGCACTTTACTTGAAAGCACTGTTTTCATTGGCTCTCTGGAGGGATATTGTCACTTCCTGCTATCTTACCTAAAACTACGTCATTTTTTGTGCACTTACGGCTTTCTCATTTGTCTTGTTTTGATAAAATTAAGATGAACTTCGCTGTTTTAAGTTTCAGCGATTTCACCTAAAAGAGTAAAGACGAATTTGGAAGAAAACTCGATTTCAAAAATTTGACATTTACTGCTCTCTTCGCTATTACGGCAATGTGGACTAAAATTCGATCACAGCCCGACGAACTGTTGCTAGACTATTAACATAACCTATCGATCAACGAAAGTTCACAAACCTAGTCCTAGACACGCTCGCGTGACTACGAACTGTTAACGAGAGTAATTAAATTACAGTTTAATTACGGGTGATTTGGCGAGAGAGGCTCGGTCATGCCCATTTAATTGCAGTTGAAGAACAAAAATTTGTTTCGATGACGTATTCCGTCAACAGTTCACGAATTGGCTAACAAGGTATTAACGGACGAAAATTTGCTTTTTCAAACAACTGGGTCTCTGAAAGAGGGGTAGAATCTCTACGTTTACTCCGTGATTTCTGAGTTTCTTCTTCAGTTAAATACCGAAGAATATTCCGTCGTGCTAGGGAAAAACGACGTAAGAACCTTCGGAAGCTGTCAAATTGCCCCCGATAAAATAAACATTTTTGAGCAAAATCATGAATTCTCTCTCTTGAAATTTGATGATACTTCCTATTAAACTGCGCATAGAATTCTCTGAAAATAGGGAGAGGTGGCAGGTGTCTGAAATTTGATGTTTGAATGAAAACTGTTGAGTGATCTAAGCACAAGGTTATTATTGGGTATCCTTGATTTCTGATTGATAATTTATTGAAATTAAAAAGTAAACTAGTCTGCTGAAAGACGAGTGTCTGACCATTTAACGTTGCCTGATGACGTCGCTAGGCGGTAAATTTTCTCACTTTCAAATCTATTTTTCTCCAATTTCCCGTGGAAGAAAAAATGGTAAAAAATACTGGAAACTCAGCTCAATAAGCACTCTAAAATGAAGTGATAAATTTATTGCGGCAAATTCTCAATTGAAAGAAAACTACTCACAAACGCCCCATAAAATCCGGGTTTACAAGCAAAATATTGCAACGTCTGAATGTTCATACGGCGTTTTTTCTTAGCACAGCGTATAGCTATGTTCTCATCATTATCAACACAAAATTCCTGTCCGTTTCTGCGCGGTTCGACTCTTATTTTGCCTGCCAAACCCCGGCGCTCTTAAAACATTTTTTACGTAATTTGCTCACCAAAACAATACGAGCAAACTCCTCCCCCGCATTGCTCCGTGGCGAGACGAGAGAAATGATAACGAGGCAGACGCGCTGTGTCGGTGGAAGCGCTCTGGTTTCTAATGTCTTCATTAGTTCCTCTGCGTGTTATGATCCTTACAGCCACTCTGCCCGGCTACGCTGCCACGACGAACTGAGTTGTATGTGACCGTCCGAAAGTGAAGGGGCCTTGTGATCTTTGTGCTAATGAAGGGCGAAAAGCTGCACACCTGAGGGCTTATTATTGAAATTGATAGACAAAACTATAGACAAAGCGATAGAAAACGCGATAGACAAAGCTATAGGCAAAGGGGAAAAATAGAAAAGGGAGCGATCCTACACGGAGAAAAGAACTTCGTACATGGGACCCGAAGTTGAGGTCATAAATGGATCTCTGAAGTTTTCGGATCACACATCCAAAAACTTGAGGTCCAACTGCCGAAGTTCGGGTCGGACATCCGAATTACTTCGGTGAGTACCGGAGAACTCAGATGTGTGACCCGAACCCTTCGGTGTGTACCTAGGTACTTCCGATGTCTGACTCAAACTTCGGCAGCTAAACCTCAAGTTTTCGGATGCAAGATCCAAAAACTTCAGAGATCCAATGACCTCAACTTCGGGCCCCATGCACGAAGTTTTTTTCTCCGTGTATTGGTAAAATCTAGTGGTGGCAGTGGATGATGGACCTGGGGAACAGGCGAACTAACGAGACCGTGCAGATTGTCACCTTCCGGCCAAAGTGTCACAAGCACCATGCGACGTTTCAAAATTTCCGCCACCATTTTATTTTTTAACAGATAAGTTTTTCATTGAATCTTTTTTAAAATTTCGCCGAATTTTATCGGCAGCACAAAGAAAATTCGGTGAAATTGTCGGACAGCTTCGTTGAACAAACTCCCCGTGAAAAAATAAAATGGCAGTGGAGATTTTTAGCGTCCTATATGTGTAATCTTTCTTCCCGTTTTTGACGTCCATAAGCCGCGTTGTCTCAACTCTCTCTATAAAGGGACTCTAGAAGCAACTTTTTCAACGTCGCAAACCGGGGCGCATCCCCGTGGGTACCGGGTCGGGAACCCGGGGACGTCTCTAATGAGGCGGTCCGGGCTTTGGTTCTCACCCGGCCGCGAGGCGGCCCGGGTCATGTCGTCCCGATCTGGATCGGAAGACGGAAGGCGGTACCGGGCCGAAACCGCGTATCTCCCCGCGGATCCCGTCGGGAGATACGCGGTTTTCCCTCGGCGAGCGTTTCGGAAGCGCGGTTCCGTCGCGGATGAAGGTGAAAGTCGTCCGGATTAAAGGCTGTCCGAATGTCGATGTCGGCATCGTGATGCCTTTGCCTCGGCTTTTGCGCCCCCCCCCTCCTGGTCCTCGGATGACGTCATTTTCGGAGGTGGGCCCCCGGAAGAGCGAAAAAGTTCGTTGCTTCGTACAATTATGCTGCCCTAGTAAGGAAGAACGCCGTATGAACCTTCAAGCGTTGCAAAGTTGTCTTTCATAAAACCTGAATTGCCTGGTAAACTGATGAATATTTTTATTCCAATTTTTCAGATAATTTTGCTCGCAGATCTACCGAAAAGTTCTGAAAATTTCAAGAGAAAAGATGCATAACTTTCCTAAAAAATGAACATTTTATCGAGGAAATTTGGAAACTCTCGAATGTTCATACGGTGTTCTTCCTTAGCACGGCAGTAAGGAAGTTCGTCAGATTGATTCTCTTCATCACTTGCGGAAGCACTAACCCAGATTTGAGCGCAAAGGTTACTCAACATCAACAATAATTGGATCGCATTTAGCAAAAAGGGACCAGCGCCATCACAGTGTTTTGAAAATTGTGCGACTTCTCCTTATATTTTAAAAATACTTAATATATGTACAGTTTTAAAAAGTTAGGGGGTTGAAGCGCTTGTAGTATTGAAGCTGATATGACGTAAACATCGAAACAATGTCAGTCAGACGGCAATAATAGTGAGGCTGGACACTCGAAACGCTTATCACTCAAATCGCTGATATCCCACGTGTTAGAAACATTGGTCTAAATTGCATCTGGTGAGAAGCTAGCCTTTCGTAAGTGAATAAGCATAAATTAAACCAGGAAACATATTTCTAAGACCGTGCAAAAAGTTAAGTGAATTTTTTAAAAGTATATTGGGTCTAAAATAAATAGTGTGTCATATATTTTATTATTGGAAGGTTTACTATCCGCGTTGTGTTTATTACATAAAGTTGAGCCTTTAATTTTACCGGAGGCCTATCTTATTTAAAAATTGTTTTGTCATAAATTAACGATGAAATTAGTTTCTCATCTTATCATGGCGCTGGCGGTCAATTTTGAAAGTTTTTTATCTTTATCTGAAGAATCATCCGGAATTCTTCCGGTTCCCTTCGAACATCAACTGCGCCCTTCAGTTGAGGCTATTCCGTCCCTGCCAAGATATAAAAAGCCAAAGGAAGCTCTGAAGGTAATTTAAGTGTCTGATTCCAACGAAGCTTTCCTTCCGGGCAACCCGCCCGTTTTTCCAAAAGTAATGAAACGCAAGCAATTGATCTTATTCGATGGCGGTTCAATGTATCGTTTGGTTCAAAACACTACGGCATAACTCCAAACAAAACTTTTATGATCAAAGCTGAAAATGAGGAAATTCCTGACAATTTCACTCTTCATTGCCATTTTGCACTCATAAGTATCAAAAATCTGCTACAAAAAACCAGTTCCCTCCGATTACTCAATTGACTTTTTAGGCTATGTTTAAGTACATGTTGAACCAATCGATACAATCTAACCAGTTTGATGCATCGAATACGATCTATTGACAAATTAGCCAAGTCTAAAGTTGCCTTCGATTGAAGTCAGGGTTGCCATAATTTATAAAATGCAATTCCCTGACATTTCCCTGATTTACCTGACACATTTTGGTGAAATTTCCTTACAATTGAAGATGTGACGGATGGTTAAGAAGGCATACTTGAAAATAGTTTTCAGGCAAAATGTGTTGTTCGAAACCTCAAAGAACCATTCTAGAAAGCAAATAAAGGCAATTTAACAAATTTTCCCTGACATTTTCGTCTTACTCCCTGACATTTCCCGGTTTTCCCTGACTGTGGCAACCCTATAGAAGTAAGGGATCTGAGTTTTGGAGGAAACGAGGGAATCGCTCTTTAATTGGACTAAGTTGAACAGAGAGGAACCACGTATTTTTATTTTAATTTTCCCTGACATTTTCGTCTTATTCCCTGACATTTCCCGGTTTTTCCTGACTGTGGCAACCCTGTAGAAGTAAGGGATCTGAGTTTTGGAGGAAACGAGGGAATCACTCTTTAATTGGACTAAGTTGAACAGAGAGGAACCACGTAACATTTCAGATAAAAATAATTTAATGGTTTTGAGCTTAACTAGCCTTACATTTTTTGCTGTAAAAAAGTCGAAATCAACATTAAACTCTCTGTGAAAAAAGGCGTCGAAAATGTTGTCTAACATTGCGCCTTATGGCGGAATGAAACTTCAAACCTTTATTTCTCAGTTCGATCTCTACGCGGCTTCGAACCAATTTTGAGTGTCAACTTCAAGAAAGCTCCTTTCTGGAAACACTTTGATTTTGCTTCACTTTTTTGTGACAATCATTGGAAGCAAGTGTCTATTCTAGGGGTCAGTCAATTTTTGTGGCGCAAATTCTAAGTAAAATTTTGAAGCAGAAACATATATCAGAATACTTATTTTGGTGCCTTGTCCATTGTGGTCCATTCAATTTATCTCATCTTCAGAACTAATGGTTTGATATTTTAACAGCTTCTATTTATTTTTGCGTAGCACATTTTGACAATGTCAGGCCACTCACATTTCGGCAACATTCAACACCGGAAAGGGCGCCAAGATCAGAAGCGCTCGAAGAATTTCGAAAAGTGTATCCGAGAAATCACCGTGGCAGCTAAGATGGGTTTGCCAGATCCAAATGCAAATCCGCGGCTAAGACAAGCCATTCAGGCAGCGAGGAAAGAAAATCTGCCCCGTGACAAAATAGAGGCCGCCATCAAAAATGCCATCGGTAACGCTGCTAAGGAGAGTTACGAAGAAGTTCAGTACGAAGCTTACGGTCCTTCCGGCACGGCATTGATGATCAAGGTATAAATCTGTCCTTCACAATATTTACAACCACACGGTGCGATCCACGAAATGTAGTATTTTATTATATGTTATTCGTGATTTAAAAAATTCAAGATTATTCGTTAAAGGATTTTGGTTGTTTCATAAACAAATGGGCCACTTGACAACATCTTAGTTGTATTATAGGCAGTTACTCACGGCGGATAAGCGTGCGAAGCTGTGTTTGAGGTAAATAGATTCTGAATGACCTTACCTGAAACACAAGAGAGAAAAATAAAATTGATGAAAAATTGTTCGAATTAAATTGAGGGAAGAAAACCGTTTTCTAAATTGTTCAATTAAATTTAGGAAAGAACACTGCTCTCTAAATTGCTCAAATTCAATTAAGGAAAGAACACTTTTTTCTAAATTTTTCAAATTAAATTAAGGAAAGAACACTGCTTCTCAATAAGTAGTGTTCCTTCCCTACTGTATGTTGTTCAAAGTGTAGACAACGTGCAATGGCTGAGCTGAAGCGCCGATATTGAGAATGTAACACTATAATACTGCAAAAATAGGCACAGTTACGTTTAGTGTGCACTTTAACTCAAGTGGAATGAGGTATTCTTGATGAGCGGGAATATTGAATTGATTGATCTAATCGGAAAACGATGCCTTTGACAGGAGTTACATCCAGTAATGTTAATTGAACAAATCGTGTTCTACGTGAAATTTTGATGGAGAGCAAAACAATGGATTACTGATTTAACGATTCAGTTGTTAAAAAAATTGACTGCAATGTTTCAAATGTATATTTCACGATAGTGGAAAGCTAATTTAACCATGAAAGTGGTCAAATTAGCATTGTTTTATTGCAAAATCTACATTTGTGAGGACCACACCTTATTGAAAACTAAAGGCAGAGGATCTCCTTCCTTCAGTGACAGACCTGATTCCACATAGTGTGTAATCTCATATCTTTGCGGCTTATTCTCACACGGAATCAATTCTTATCACTGGAGGAGCAGCTGCTAAGATATAGTTGACGAAATACCCTGAAATTTGCCCACAAAGTGGAAGTTCAAGTACTTGGACAACTGCACCTGTCGTAATAGAGTGGGAGAGCGAAAATTAGCAAACTGAAATAATATCTTTAAACATTCATGCACTGATGTGATCTGAGGGTTTTATATTTGATGATAAAGACTATTAACAACTATATTTGCGTTTTTCACGATGTATTTTGTTAAAATGTTTTCCATGAAAAATAATGGCACGATTCTATTCAAACTTGGAAAAGAAGCGGAATTGTAGAACAGATGAAATAAAACAAGAAACGATTCACCAAGAGAAGCGCAGTTGAGTCAATGTGAGGATTGAGACAAGCCAAGACCAAGATCAAGACCAAAACCAATAGTAAGAGTGAAGTCTTTGATCTGATCGGGCCGAGGCTCCCAACGAGATTGAATTGTTAACAAAAAAGATAAAAAAGAGTAAGAACCGAAAGACATGTCATTAGCGTTATCAGAGAAAAAATAAAAAAAAATTATTTAAGTGATAGGAAATGGAGGTTGGTTTATCGGATTATCACACACTGAAACATTGCAATCAGTTTTTTTAAACTACAAAATTGTTAAATCAGCAATTTACTTTTTTCCGTGGCTTAAATTCGAACCAAGTCCGTGTTGATTGCGCTCGTTGCGGCATTGCGGTCTCTACGCTGGGATGCTACTTCAATGCAGGCGCAAGCATACAACTAAACCAGCACGATGGATGTGCGTGGTACATACGCAAGTCAAATGAAGGCGTTTTGAAAATCCATACGCAGAAAGCACATAACATTCCAGTTCCAATCGAAAAACGATGTTATATCAGGAGTCGCATTTTAAATTGTAAAAATCGTGTTCTCCGTAAAATTAAGATTATAGGAATGTATAATAAATCTTAAATTCAGTCCTTGTCGAGTGGTCCACAGCCAATCATACCCCAGAAGATCTTCGGATCCCTTTCTAAATATTCTAGTCCCGTGTAAATCCAAGGTTACGCGGGTGAAATGAAAAATATAAAATATTGAAACTTTCCGTCAAGTATTTCATGAAATTCCACTGAGTTGTGAAAAATATTAAAAATATGTGACATAATTTCAGGAGCTGGGTATGCAACATGCAGTAAAAAACACCAAACAGCGAAATCCAGTCGCCTTTCATTTAATTTTGTATTTATTTTCGAATATTTTCCAATACTTTTCATTTTTCCTGAAATTTCAAGATATTATTCTTCACGAATAATTGCAACTCCGCATTAATCTTTTTCAGGTGCAGACGGACAACCGAAATCGAATATCGGGCTACCTGCGGCGCGTCTTCAACCAGCGCGGAGGAAATCTCGGGGAGTCTGGCACTGTTAAACACCTCTTCGACCACGTCGGTCTAATCGTCTACAGGGCGAACGAGACGCAGTTCGACGACATCTACGAGTTCGCCAGCGACCTGGACGTCATCGACATCGAGAAGGACGCCGACGTGGGTATCGCGGAAGTCACCTGTGACATGAAGCAATTCGGAGTCGTCAGGGACGCCCTATACAAGAAGTTCGGGGACCCGGAGTTGGCCCGCCTCACGTGGAAGCCCAAAAACCTTGTGGAGATCACCGACAAAAAATTGGGTGATAAACTCGCGCGACTTATCGAGGCTCTCGAGGATATTGACGATGTCCAATACGTAGAGACTAATTTTTCTTTGCCTGATCGAGGAGAAACGGAAGAATAATTTTTGTGTGTGAGAAAGACCCTGGGCCGGAAATACACAGAAAGGCTGAGGAGAATATTTTTTTTTTATAAAAATCAAAATCATGTTATTTTCGGACAAGAAACTCTTAACTGACCTATCCTGCCGAGCTAAGGAAAAACGCCATATTAGCCATTAGACGTTGCCAAATTTACTTCAATAAAACCGAATTTTCTTGGAAAATTGCGAACATTTTTCTTCTTTTTCAGATAACTTTGTTCGCAATTTGATCTGAAATGTCTGAAAATTTCTAAGAGAAATATGAATAACTTTCCTCAAAAATACATGTTTTATCTGGAGGAATTTGGCAACTTTCGAATGTTCATACGGCGTTTTTTTTATCTAAAATGTCTGAAAATTTCTAGGAGAAATATGAATAACTTTCCTCAAAAATACATGTTTTATCTGGTGGAATTTGGCAACTCTCGAATGTTCATACGGTGTTTTTCTTTAGCACGGCAGTATCGGTTCTTGCATGCAAATGAAGTTTACCAGCAAGAGGAATCCTGAGAACTGTAGAAAAATCGAGAGTCTATATTTCGTCGCCCCCCTAACATAAGGGCGTAACTCAATTTCTACGTTAACCCTGTGCTCGTTATAACCCTATGCTTTCCGAGGCTTGTGTGGAAATCGAGATACGCCCTTACATCAGAGGAGCGACGATTTGCCCGATCGAATGTCAATGGTAATAAAACTCCCAAACCACTTATCACGGTTTGCAACGTTAAAGACCTCCTGTCATACTTTATTTTTTAAAATGGAAAACTACTCAATGTCCATCATTAAAAACTTCCGTGATTTTCCTTTTCTGCGCAGAAAGATTTTGTGAAAACTTCAAAGAACTATGCTGACTTATTCTCCTTCAAAAAAGTAAAACAGGAAAGGAGATTTTGAAGCACCGCAAATGAGATACGTGGATTGGGAGTTTCACCGTTTGTATGTTTTCAGAGCAGTTTGTTTGGGGGTAAACAGTTAGTGAAAATGCGAAAAGTATGAAAAAGACAGAATAAACTAATTTAGTTGTAATTTTTAAACTGCAATCAAAATAAATTAATTTATTCGACTATGAGAACGTACCTGTCTAGTTTTTTCTAGAGTACGGCTGTTACATTCGTCTTTCGTTCTATTTTTTTTGTTTTCCTTACAAGTGTGGGATACGGTTTTTGTGTCAAAATCTGTGTTAATTTTCAAATGTTTTGGCACTAAACTCTACAAATTCATGGACGTTCAGATATTTTGTTGGTGCATTGATAAAAAATGTATCTTTTCAATGCATCGTTGCTCAAAATTGACTTCATTTTTAAATTTACCCCTCTTCTTCTTGTACGTTTGCAAAATAGAAAAAAAAAGAAATCATTCTAAATCCTTAGGGGTTTTTTTACATGTTTACCTCCTTAAATCCATCTTTTAATTTAACCTCCTTAGAGAGTCTCATAAGATTAAGCGATGCTTAAACACTTAATGATACGAGTAAAAAGCAATTATATTCTTAGTAAATCTCACTACAGAAGCACGGCCAGGATAAGACAACGGCACGACAGTGCAATTCGCCTTCAATTATTCGGATCGACAAACCGCGGTCTGCGGTCTTACAAGTTTAAATAATGGTATCCTTTTAGCCGCTTTACAAGCGACTGATAAATAAGCGCGCGGTGCGACTGGCCAGCACAGCTAACAATAAGGCAAAAATGTCCACCTTCAATTTTTCGGATAGACAAAACACGCTCTCGCGAGTTTAAATGATGGTATCTTTTGTGACCGACATAGTGTCTAAAACGTGAACCACAATCTGGAGACGTGTGCTTTGAAATCTTCAAACGGACGGGGGCAACTGTAATGCGGAGCTTCAGCAAATAAAACCGTTCTCATCTTCCGGCTACGATGAAAGTATTGCAAGACTTGTTGCGAAATCGCATAAAAAATTGAAAAGGAAGGAAAAATAAGTAAAGGGAGAAAAGAAAATAAGTAAATAACGAGAAGAGACAGAGAATCAGGAGGAAAAAAAGGAGAGAAAAAAAATCACGTGCCCTCAACTGAGTGGCACTGGGAGAGGAGCAGTGGCGTGGCGTGAATTGCGATGTATCGATTGTTCTGCCATTTAAACCTATGGTAAAGAATCGATTATTAAGGTGTTCGCTGCGAACACCCTGTTAATCGATCTTTTTCCATAGGTTTAAATGGTATAACAATCGACTTATTGCAAAGCACGCCACGACACTGGTTCGTAGTATAATACAACGTTTCAAGATCACTTTCAATAAATTCCCACACTTCCTAGGTGTGAGAAAAATGTCAGGCACGGGCCCTATAAACGCTCATACCCCGGTGAGAAAGTGTGTGCCATTAAATTCCAAGGAATTCGCCATCTTTTTAATTAAGACAACGAGGAAGGATAAACGTTTCTCTCCCGTCGACGCGATGTAGTTCCCTCGAAAAAAAAAAACATATCTTCATTATCCTTTCAGCTCTCGATCGTGTAAGATAGCACGGTTAATGTGGTCCCGGTCGAATGCTGGATAAGCTCCTTCGGCTTAGCGCTGTCCAATTTTGATCGACCACTCTTTTTGATTAGGTGCGAAAAATGCAGGGGCGAGGTTATAGTATGGTGAAGGACCTGGCATTGTTGTCGTTTTTCACGTGAAATAATCACTTTATGTAGAATTTTCCACTGTTAAACTGCTCGACTCCATGGGTGTGTTATACGGGTTAAAATAAGATTTTTCTATCAATTCCTCCCCCCCCCCAAATAAAGAACCCCCAATCAGAGCGACAATCCCCCTAATTTTTTTGGAGATCATAGTTTTTTTTTCTAAATCTTGTAGGTAGTTAGGGATCAAAATTCATAATTTTAAACGTAAAATTCACGCGGGGCCTCAAAAATATCGAAATTTTAAGGAAAGGTAGACCAATTTTTTTTAACTCTGAGAAATCTCAGACCCTCAGAGGTCTTCCTAAAACTTTACATTTTGGTGTTTCAGTAGGAATGGAAGTATTAAGCGCTAATAATGACGTGGAATACGGTCATTTTTCAAACTTTTGGATCCTAAACCATCGCCAAATTTTAAAAAAAGGATGATTTTCCTGATAATTTGAAGAGGACGTAACTCTGTCGAGCGACTTACAGGGAGAAAACATCATTGAGGATAGAATCCTAATTTTTCCCCATTCCTACAGTCGGGCGGTTTAATTTTGAGATACCCTGTGCTTGCGGACAATCATGTTAAGGTGATTCGATGGACGCCTTATTTTGTGTCAGAACGGCATGCGATATATCGCATCAATTGGTTCCATTTTTTCAGCTACTCGTCATTTTTCTTCAATTTTGAAATCGCAATTCTGTTTTCAGGAGACTAAAGCACTCACTTCCCAATTTTAACAAAGAAATTCAACGTAATAAAGGCGTGGTTTTTTAGAGTGAAAACATCGCATTCGATACTGATATCGAAACTGCACTCGAGTGTTATTATTTTCTCTCTAAAAAAGCACGCCTTTATTACGTTGAATTTCTTTGTTAAAATTGGGAAGTGAGTGCTTCAGTCTCCTGACAACAGAATTGCGATCTCAAAATTGGAGAAAAATGACAAGTAGCTGAAAAAATGGAACCAATTGATGCGACACATCGCATGCCGTTCTGACACAAAATATGGCGTCCATCGAATCACCTTAAAGTTTTAGATTAAGAAAACATAACTGTTCAACTTGGCAACCATGCTGATGAAGAACGTGGCGAGAGAGAGGCACGCGCATCGACGGATAAAAGTGTCATAAAATATAAATATATAAGTGGAATATTGACGGCTCCGGTGATGAAAAACGGAAGAAGAGGGAGGAAAGGGGGGCAGGCTGATTGGGAAGAGGAGGAGGAAGAAGGGAGGAAGGAGGTGCGGGGGCGCACGGAAACGAGGAATGCTAGGATAAATAGAAAAAAGGTTTTGATGAAGTTATTCATAATAATTAACGAAACGAACACTTCACGGGATCACTTCGGCAGTGTTTCATGCAGCGATGAAAGTTGCCCGCGTTGTTGCTATGCCAAGTTTTTTTCTCTCCCTTTTTTTTTTTTGAAGCAGGATAAAATTTAAATCTTAAAGCTTATGCGCCTATACCACACACAAGAAAAAAAGTAAGGTAAATGGACTGAGATGCCTGATGAACCCAGCGAGATTTTTGTTTCAAGAAAGCTTGCGCGCCTGTATCACACACAGAAAAAAGTACGATGAATGGACTAATTGTAAGATGAACCCAGTGAGATTTTTTATTCAAGTATAGATGAAAGTTCTACTATCAGAAAGGCGTTTTGGTTTTCGAACTTAACAAAATGTTTACTCTTTCGCTCCTCATGCAGTCATTAGAGGAAGTATTGTTTTCATAACTGTTATCTTCCTGTCCCCCACCCCCTTTCCTTTGTTTCTCTAAATGAGCAAAAGCAATCGCACATTCACACAATGAGGGCATTCAAATTTTTCGCGCATTGAGGAAAGGACCATCTGCCTAACGATGGTGCGAAACGCACGGGTAGGATTAGAACAAACAGGGTGCACGTGTGGTTTGAGAGAGGGCTGCGGGGGAGGTTGCATGCACAGCTGGGAGAAACACAGTCGTGCGAAAAAAAAAACACTCGAATTTTGCCTAATTTCTTTAGAAAAAACATTTCTTTGGGAAGATTAAGAATATTCTTTAACTTATAAGAAGTTCGTTAAGTTTCAAGTTTGTTAAGTTATTCTTTAAGTTAAGAATATTCTTGAAGTTTTAGTAACTTAAGATAGAATTGCGAATAAAATTTTCTGGAAAAGTGCGAGTAAAACAATCACAGGGTTCGATAGTTAAATACAAATTTTATCGAAAGAAATTCGCCGTGAAATAAACACCAAAATGTGTACTTTTCACAAAAAAATTTCATGTCTGGCCCCTCCATTTTGTTCGTTCTCTAGTGCAGTAGAACACGTATAATAACCAAAAAAAAATCCAGTTTAAAAGTGGTTTCATTGAGTTTTTAGACAAATTATCTGCAAAAAGCACCCCTTTAGATTTGAAAAATTCTAAGATAAACATAAAAATTTGGTGCTTTAGTTCGAAATTTCACGCCCGACTCCTCCCAATGGTCTGTTCCAAAGTGCGACGGACTCGTCAGCACTAGAGTCCCTTTATACTGAGAGTCAA